CAATCATGTGAAGGTGGGTACAAATGGCACCAGATCATTGGCTTCTCGGACCTAACATAAATTATCTGTATCCCTGAAAGCCAAACCAGGTTAGCCCAAAAGGAAAAACTACTACGCCCGCATGCAGGTGCTCCTGGCTGAAAAATTAAACGCCAGCTCTTACTGATACCATCCTCGAAACAATGCATTTTCCTCCTAATTTGCCGGCACTAACATATCTAAGGCGCAAAACTAGAGTCTGGTAAATAGTATGTCTTATTAGAATGAACGGTCAAGTTTGCAGCTTTGCAGGAACACCAGAATTAAAGCTAGCTCTAAAGCCTCAAGGGACCACATAATAACCAAAGACACTGTCTATCACCAAAGCATCACATTGTTGCACATAACAAAGCGGAGCATCTAAGTTTGGGGTATACAATGGATCGAGCGGCGCAAATTATGACGCTGATGGTTCTGGCTCTTTCCCCTTTCCCCCCTTGTTCACAACCTTTGTACTGTCAGCCAGCGGCACGGTGTTAGGCTCCTTGGTGTAGATGATACAGTCGTCGAGAGTGTAGATCCTGAGAGCGAGCGAGGATACAGTTGAGGTCTTGATAGCTACTGTGAAGGAGGACCAGTACCACCAATCATTCTTCAAGAACTCGGATTTTATCACTCTCTCCAACATGCTGGTCGCCACTACCATCTGGAAGAGGCATAGAATAGATACGACTAATCAGTACAGACCCTCTCAAGCATTTATTTTGTATGGAGATGATGATGTTAGAGAGCTTTTAATATAATGGACAGGCACAAAAATAATAAACACTAGTCTATTTTTGTGTGGCACAAATTAAGGTGAATAAATAGATGATGAAGTCACCTCGGAGATTGATTCTGCGCGCTTCACAAAAGAACGCCATGAATGCCTTCTCATTTGTTGAGACTTTGAGGCTCTGAAAGCTTCCTCAGGCAACGCTGCTTCTATGTCAAGCAAATTTATCTTTAGTTGCTTCAGGATATAAGAGTTTCTTCCTGTAACCGGCCTCAGTGATGACTCCGGAACCAAGCCACCGTTAACAGCCAGCAATCTTGTTGGCTTGTCTGTTGCAGAAGATGCTGCTTCCTCACAGGAAGTAGTATCAGTATCAGTGGCTGGCTCCTTAGTTTTTGACACATTTTCATCACAGGAAGTAGTAGCCGCAGGACAATCTTGAGCAGAATTGGACCCCTCCTGCCCTAACTTTTGTGCAGACATTGCCTGGCATTCTTCTAAGGAGCTGGAAACACAATCATCATTTGGGATGTCATCTTGCCTTTTGTTTTTATTCAGAATTACTGGAGGATCAATAAAAGCTGCACGTGAAGGGACAAAAGACGGAACTCCGTTTGATCCAATAAATCCAATATCCTTCACTATCTCCTTGTTTGAATCATTGGTGACAAATTTTCTGCAAATCACTTCAAAGTCATATGGGCATGACTTCATCGGTTTTGTGGACTCAGAGGTAGAGCTACGATGAACAGAATCCTTCTCCTTGTTGACATGTCCATTGCACCTTCCAGCATGCTCTTCATACTCAGTTGACGTAAAGTAAGTTTCGTGACATGCTATGCAGTGGTGCCGAGCAGGCCGTATAGGCTCCAAGCAGTCACAGCGACATGTTTTCTCCAAAATTGCTGCAGCCTTGGTACCAGGAAGTTCCATAAGCTGCTGCTGGCTGCTGTTCGACGACCCCTTGAATGATACTGGAGGATCACTGAGAACGAAATTACCCAGCTGGTGATGAAGATGCCTCTGCCGCTGCCACTGCCACTGCTGGATAGCACGTTTCAGCTCCTTCTCCCTTGGATCGTATTCCCTTAGCCAGTCAACAAGGCCACGGATTTCTTCATCCGATTCATAAACAACGACAGATGCAGAATTCCACCCTTTACAATCAGAAGTAGATGGTGGGTCCCTCTCCTTGCTTATCAGCATGCTTCCATCAGCGACCAGTAAAGGACGTTTACCAGATCGTCCTAACACCCAGTACAGTCGACCCAAGGAATCCTTTCCCAGAAAATCTCTTCTCAGGGATGCCATATTAAGCTCTGACTCTACTGTGCCAATTGACTCCTGCACTTTTGAAATCTGGTCCGATAAAGTATCCATTTCACCATATGAAGTCCTCATTTCCTCCTTATCTTTCAAATCCTTCAATTCATAATTCAAAGCATAAAACTTCTTCTGGAGATCATTGAACTTATCTGGACATTTTTCTATATGTTGTCTTATCAGGACTGTGTTGAGCATTTCATCACAAAGAAATTTCAGCATATCTATTCTCTGCATTTTGAAGATAAATGTTAGACAATGTAGGTTGTCACTTTGTCCACTATGAAAATACCGTAAAATACTATTAGGCATACCGTAAAATACTAGAGAAAAGATGATTTGGCCAAGTAAAATCATATAAAGGAATACAACGAAATATGCAATACACAAAGGACTAAAACTTCCAAACACTAAATAGTAGAGATATCTACTTGAAAGTTGAAACATAGAAGAGAAAACCATACCTCTTGTGTGCTAAGCTCCCAGTACTCCTTTTGTGCCACTGCTGGAGCTAACTTAATAAGCATGTCATGATAGGGTCCTTTCCGTTGTGGTTTGAAACGCTGAACACCCTGGTCAAGATGTGATTTCCTTTGACCTGACATGCACGATGGTTTGCTGCGAAATGCTCCTTTTCGCTGTCGTTTCAAATCCCGAGCACCCTGGTCAAGACGTGATTTCTCTGGATCTGATATGCAGGATGGGCAGAACCAGTCTCCTTCTGGTATAAGAGCTAGTGGTGGATTCAAGCAGTATGTATGGTATTCCGAGTCGCAACCATCACACAAGAGAACAACGTGGTCGTCTCTATCAATGCCACACACTTTGCAGATACCCTCCTCCCATGGAGCTTTAGGTAATTTTGTTTCTGCAGTCACAAAATCATGTAGCTCCTTATGTATTTCTGAACCAGTATTCTCACTAGACAGGTAACAATCAAATTTCCGAACAAGGTCGAGCACCTGCACCAGCCATGTAAAAAGAACAGAAAGCCAAAAGGGTTACTAAAATCCTTGGTAATATTACTTAGTAAACAGAAAAATTTACATTAAGCTAACATATACTCAAATCAGCATAGGTAATCCCAGTGAGACGGTATAAAGCTAACTAAGTGACCCATATTTTTTTCTAGTTGCAATATTATCTTCACTATAAACGCAGGTGACATGAAATTATGGAATCGCGTGAGGTAGTTTGACTAACTTGATGCTATTTTACAGCATGGCTTTAACCAATTAAATAGGCGGCATCATAGTCAATAAAGCATTGGTCTAAGGTGAGCACTTACGTTATGACTCTAACCAATGCAGTTTACATCTAAAAGTAATTGTACTGCTCATTTATCCATATACTCCATATAGTCCATATATTGTGCTGAACTTGAGTAGCACAAGGCCTGAGGACTAGTCAGAATATTTCACAAAGTAGTGTTCAAACTATGTTTTCCTTAACCGAAAATTGGTAATCAAGTACTGCACAAACAGCAAGGAAATACGGAGCATGGATTGGTGTTCTGCGATCAAAAAACACAATTTGCTAAAAATGTCCTTAATTTAACCAGCTGAAAAGTAGGTGTTCAAAGCAGTAAACTACCATACAGAAAGGGATAACAAACCTTTGTCTTATGCAATTCAAAACTCTTAGAGAATTCTAGTACCATTTCCCTTATATCCGTTCGATCAGCACATGCAGTGTGCAGATTGCATATTACCTGCAGGTAAACATAACAGATCAGCAAATTTTCTAGTTTGTGCACAAGGTAACTGTTAGCTTGATTTTCTAATTTCAGCATACTGCCTGTTACAACTCCTTTGCTGATCGAACAGTTAGCACAAGCTAACGCGACTGGAGTATTTGCAGGCTAAGTCATCCATGGAAAATCTGAGCAAATATCCCATGCGTATGACCATAGCATAATACAAAAAAGGGTGTTAAATAAAAACATACCTCTTGCACATCCTCAAAAAATGTCTCCCAAGATCCACAGTAAGCTCCCATAGCCAACCTTATATCAATTGTGCGGAAGTCCAAAGGGCGTGGCACCATACCAGAAAATCCAAGGATGCCCTCATCCTCATACTCATTAGAGTTCACTAGAATAGTTCCAAGCAGATTCCCCAAAATCTTATATTCATCTGAGGAAATGGCATGGCGCAGAGCAATACGACACTTCTTGAAGATAACCTCTGAGATGGAAATAGTTTCCCTTTCATTTCTTGGTTTTTCAGGTTTTTGTGGCACTGTTACACGGCATGCCTCTGACAACACAGATAAAACAGCTTTCTGTCACAAGGAAAGAAAAACTTTTAGTGTATTTTTCAAATAGTCCCCTAGTCACAAATGTCCTCAAAATAAAAGATAGAGAAAAGTATCATGGCAACGAATAAGTCTAATAAGGCAGAAACAGAATACATTTCACAACATAAGCATGGCCATGCTATGCACTGATTTCTCTCTTTTATATAGTAAAACTTTGGTTAAACTGCGATGCTGACAGCAAGTTCATGTTAACCGAAGTTTCTTGCTCAGGCTAAATAAACAAAAACATTTAAATACAAAATACATCATCTGACTGGTTTCCAAGGTTTCAAACAAAATTCTACAACCATTCCTGTCATCCTTTTAAAGGGATACAATACTTCATCACATAAAATAGTAAAACAAAAGATGTGTTAGGGGAACTAGGAAATGGAATTTATGCATTTGTATTGACGGCCAAGGGCAAAATACATGAGTTTTAATCTAGAAAGCAACCCACACAACAAACGGTACTAAAACATAAACTAATACAAACTCATACTTTTATTTTTGCAACTCGTTACTTTTTAATTAAGAGAAAAACACCATAAGCATTGCAGCTCGATCATCAAGAATACTCGTTTTTATAAGGGCCCGAGAGCAGGTCAAAGCCTGAAAAAGGAAATTAAACGCAGTCTGGAACAGCAAGAATACAATGACTGCAGCCTGCAGGAGCATTACTAACCTTGGTTCGTCCAGATGCATTAGCCTTGTAGACCTCTTTACTTATCGAATGTTCCAAAACTTTCCTTGCCCATTCTGGTGGTTTTCGGTCCAAAGCTTCATAAACACAATTTCTAATTCTCGTTCCCACATTTGTTGGTAATTTTCTCACAGGCTCTAGTACTTTTGCCCAATCTGGCAATGTTCTATTATCAGCAATAGGCACCTCAGCAGAATACTTGTAATCCATCATAAAAACCTTGTTTCCTTCACTTGATAGAGAACTGCATATCAAATTCTCCGCCTCCAGAAGCAGCTGAAAATACAATACAATAATTACAGTGCAGCAAAAATACACATAAAATTTACCATCGTCTAAAATAAGAACATGGGAAATTTATAATATCTCTTAGTGGGTGAACAAAACACTATAGATAAATTATATTCGATATTATCAAAAAATCACACAGCTAGACAAGGAATCAATGTAGTCAAGATATCTCCGGCCAAATAAGCAAAACCAAGAATCTTGTCTCCACAGATAAGATTTAACAACAAAATTCCTGCAAACAGGTGGAAAAGCTCTGAAAAATATCATAGAAAAAAAACAAATGGGAAGAGTCTCGTAACTGATTATACGAGCCTTGCTAGGAATACTGAAATACATATAAATACAGAGTAATGGTGACAGAAAGCAATACATATAAATACAGAGTAATGGTGACAGAAAGTAATATAACTGATTATACTGCAGAGTCCTGTACATACCTCTTTTTATTATTACTACGAAATACATATAAATACAGAGTAAGGTTTTTTTCCTAAGCTGGATAAAACAGGGATATATGTTATATCCCTCATGGAAACAACATAGAAACATACTATTATGTAGAGTTAATGTGTATAATATAATTGTACAGGGTTGCAATCAAAGCAAATATTAATAAAAGGAAATAAAAAGTTAAAGAAAAATATAAAAACAGATAGCAAAATAACCATAGCATACAGCAAGCTAAAGACCACTCATGTCTGATTGAAGAAGGAAAGGAAGCCATAATCCAAATGAATCACAAGGTTCAGATAATTGTAGAAGTAAAATTCTTACCAGGGCATCCTTCTCCATGCCGGCAACCCCAGGTACTGCTCCGCACAGTATGCCACCATCACCGTGTAGGCAGCGGAATAACTTCACCCCTTCTCGACTGGAAATATCAGACACATCCATGCATCCATTTATGGATGAAATAGCTAACATATACCTTCTAGTCAACTCTGGCCAAGTCAACTTGTTCGCAGTCAGCATATCAAAGTTAAATTCCTTTGTTGAAACAAGGCTCTCAGTGTCCTTCTTTCTTCCACGCCTGGGTTTTGATTCTTTGGGGTCAATGTTGAGCTTTGATAATACCTCGCCAAAAAGAACCTTAATGAGTGCAAGATGAACCCTGGGCAATACTGTACCAGTGCACCTCCCAAGTGTCTGGGCTGCCAATTTATCTAGACGCGCTTCCTTCATAGAGGAAGTTTCAACAGGAATAAATACAGACACAATCTCTTCGTTATTGGAGAGACCAGATTCACTATTTGAATGTGGTATAGAAGAATTTGCAGGGGAATTCATTGGTGAAGAGTAGTCCCTACATTCCTGAATGCCCTTTGACAATGTTTCTTTCTGACTTGCACAAATTGGCCACGGTTCAGCAAGTTCATCTTCTAATTGTTCATATGAAGGCACTTCTTCGAGATCAATGATTTCAGCAAAGCGCCCCAAGAACTCCCATATCTGAAGAAAATTTCAATAAGATGGATGCAAGCATAAAAAGGAAACGCACAACTTTGTAAAGATTTGTTTCTCAAATAGCAGAAACAGTGACAGAGATATGTAAAGAGCTACCTGGAGAACATCTGCCGCCGATTCTGGTTGAAGCTTATGGCTAATAGGACGTCCTGGAGGTAGCTTGCAGATGCTAGAACCGCTGGGCTGAGCAAGATCGTGTAGCCCAGTCACCCCAACATGTCTACCATATGGCGTATCTACATTACTTTGACCATCTTTATGCACAGATAAAAGTAAACCACTTGCAACTGTTACAGAAGAATGAAATTCTGCCCTATTGCACAAGAACTGGTAGTTTACGCAAGATGTGGATCTAGGAAGAGACTCCACAATTTCTTGAACAAATTCCAAATCAAGCCCAATTCTATCATGGTATAGCCAATGCTTCAGTAATGTATAAGTAGCTTCCACATCATTCTTCTTTTCTGTAACTCGTTGAATACTGGGGCCATTGGATGAGCAAAATCTAGTTAAGGGAGCGTAAGGACCATCAAAGTTCTGACATCCACTCCCCTTGTTTAACAAATGATTTTCGCTGTTGTGTGTGCATGAGAATACCAGATGCCCATGTTCCGTGTACATTTTTTCGCATGCTTCCACCATAGCAGAAGAAATCATCTCCCATACTGAAGAGGATGATGTTCCCTCAAATGTAAACTCACCAATTTGGTCATTAATATTGGCTTCTTTACTTGGTGGAACATTCTCAAAATTTGAAGGTAGTATTTGCGACATCATATTTGAACTCTGTACATCATTGCAATCCAAAGAAGTCCTTTTATCCTCCGTATCATTGGTAAGACATGATAGGAAATCTTGGTTGGTCTCAGAGGGAATATCCATCATCATATAAAGATCATCATCCATATCATTAGCAGTATCTCCAATAAAACTGCTACTTTCCTTTGTTTCAGCGGCCTTTCTTGCATCATTCTGAGAGAGAATGGTCAAGGCTTCTGGAAGGGGGAACACTGAACATGGTAACCTTCTGACCTTAAACAAAGGCGCAAAACTCCCTCCATCACACACCTCACACTCAAACAGTGAACCAGTGACTCTATCATGCCAGTAAGATGTAAAACCCACCGGCCATATCTGGTGGCAATTGTGGTAGCTTGCATGTTTATCGATTTCTCCCAAGTTAGTTATGAAGAAATCTTGATATTGAACAGGTAGGCCAACCTAGAGTAACAACACAAAAAAGCAATGTTATCAAAATCAGCGCCAAGTGATCGTAAGGTAAAAGAACTGCAGTATAAGAATACAAAGGCTGTAGCAGTGGGAAACAATAACATCTAAAATGGACACTGGATGAAGAATACGAATCTGAAACAGGTAATGAGATACTCACACTGCCATGATGTGCTTGACGGTTGCAATTTTCCGCAAGAAATTTTGGAGGCTTTGGTGGATTTCTTTCTTCTTTACGACTCGGGTCTGTTGCTTTCATAAAGAATGATGGCTCCTTAGTGCTGGAACTTCCAAACTCGTGCTTCTCAGAAAACTTGGGCAATGCTGATGTTTGTGGAAAATCTCTTCTCCTGCCGCGTGTATGATTTGACCTCTGGTCTATGCTTCCATCAGCAATGAAACTTTGATCCACAGGAGGAAATTGTTGAGTAAATGCTGGCATAAAGTGATTCCCATCTGCAACATGATAGCCAGAAGTAGATTATTATAAGATGCACCACCAATGATGGTCAATAGTTACATAAGAGACCAGTCAACTATAGCATCAAAACGGTAGCATGACCCATAGTTTTTTGGAACTGGAATTAAAATTGCCCTTTATGGATAAACACGTACTACGCCTAAGTGGCCACACATGCACTGAACATGGGGCAAGCAGAAGTTTATCTGATGGTATTAGCACAGCAAATTGTTATCTAAAAAGTTACAGTGCATAAAAGATTAAAAGGTGTGGAAATCTCCAACAAAAAGCAAATACATCTCTCTTGCAGTACATATGATTGCTCTAACATCCTTACCAAAAGGAGTTGTATTATTCAACATCAGCCCCTCAAAATGTGAAGTAGCCAATTCAGTCAAATGAGCTCCATCAGCAACACTTACTCTGCGAGGATCAAAAGAAAATATTAACTCTTCTGATGATAATATTAACTCTTCTGATGATAAGGTTATTAGAAAACTTCCTATAACATTTATGATATTATTATTTCAGAGCACCCAAAAACGGTCCAGTTTATAAATTGTATTGCAAAATAGTTGCCACTGTTTTTTTTTTTTTGCAATAAACAGAATTTCAAGAAATCAGAAGTTTTTTTTACTTCAAACAGATCTTTCAAGAGTAGTCAAAACAATAACCACATGATAATAAAACAGCGAGCATCATGTAGAGTAATGAAAGCACTGCTCTCTAATACAATGAACCAGCTATAGAAAATGCAAGCATGCTTTCAACAGTTATTCTCTTCAGCATAGCACATAAAAGTAGTCTAAAACAATGGAAGGATATTAATGATTTGATTGTTCTACAATTTAGTTTGCAGTACTACTGAGAATTAATGGAGCGCAACCTATTCAACTGTTATGGTTGTAAACTTCTTAACACACTGATATGCAAAGACAACTCAATTGAGAAAATGCAACGCCATAATAATCATCAAGATAACTAAACATTGTACAGAACGATGGCACATATATACGGCCAAGTCTTGATAATAATCACTGTAGGTACTTTATGTACATTTAACCAAATTCCACGTCACTGCTCCAGCATGTATATCTTACAAGAAATGGCTGTACATATAACCAATGAATTAGAACAATTTGGTGTAGGGACACCTGTAAATACATAAGCATTTGTATTTATGTGGATCTAAATGTGATATTAAAATAAGTAGAAGAAAAGTAGAAAAAAGGGCATACATTAGGGTTGATGATCGAAAGCATAGAACGTTACTTTCTGACCGACATTCTTTTCTATAAATTTACTCTCTTCAAAATACAAGAACCAAGCAATCTGACACGTGACCATGGCCCAGTCTCCAAAGGAGACTATCCTTGCAATATGTATGGAATAACTCAACCAAAATAGGAAAGGACTAAAACCATAACATCAGTGCACTCTAACCTACACTTGAAGTCAGGTCAGAATCCATCACTAAGCAGTTTCACAAATGCTCGCCTAATCTTATAGGCTGTATATGATATTGAAATGCTTAATAAAGGAAAGGCATCATTTGCTAAAAATTGGGTAAAATGCATATGAACTGATCAGAAAAATTTGCAGCCATGTGAGAGTTGTCATCAATGAAAAAAATAGCATGATACCCGCAAAAAATAGCACACAATCAAATATAGCTTCACCCTTCTCCAGATGCTACACAAATTATAGCGCGCTAATAGCATGCTATATTTGAAAATAGCATTTTGCAAAAAAATAAATGTCAAATATATCCAGAAATAAAGGATTTCAGCAACTACATTTTTTCCAGGAGCAATACATGCACAAGGTCCAATTCCATGGCATAAACATGCACATTCCTTTCATACCCAGATTCAGAAGTGGTTTGGGCTTGCAGAGGACAAACAGTAGTAAATTAGCAACACAAGAGAAGAACAGGTAGTGGACACGCCTAGATAAGATACCATCAAGCACAACAGATGTAGTATTAGGTTGATACCAAGTACTTCTAATTAAGATAGGAAACTGTAGTTCCACTATAGGTGATCTAACATAGAATCAACATGTTTTATTCAAAAAAATTGCAACGGCTGGTGACGAGGAGAAACAAGGCGGCGGCAAGTTTCCTCTGCCACGGCGATGCGGATGGTGACTTGGGCGAGGAAATAGATGAGGCCGACACTGCTACCTTGAGACCGGATGATTAAAGGATGCTCTCACTTGCCGTCTGACTTGCCGGCAACGGTGGCTTGGCTGACATCGCGCGGCGCCACTGACTTGTTGGAGTTGGAGATGTGGCTGACGCCGCTACTTGGAGATGGGAGGAAGAGAAGCCGCTGCCGCCCAGGAACCGCCGCCGTCTCCTTCACTGATGAGTCATGAGATGCCGCCGCCGCCGCCGCCGCCCTAGGTCACGAGCTATTGAACTATTGGAAAATGGGGAATGAGGGTCACGAGTTAGCTAGATTAGGTCGATGGGCTGTTGCATTTGTTGCGTCTGTGAGAGCGGGTGAGAGTGGGTTGGGCTGATATCAGATGGGTCGTGTGAACGCTAAAATGGTAAAACTTTTTTTGTTTAGCGTCGGATTAGCACCGTAGCGAGCAAATTAGGTAAAACATAACGTGGCCCTTCCCGATATGCTATCGCAACGCTATAAGGCCGAAATAGCGCACTATTTTTTAGTTGGTTGTCATGTTAAAAGAAGAATATAATAGATGATTAGTGGGTTTTCTATACATAACTTGATAAGGGATGCCCATGTATGCAGACCTTGGATAGGAAGATTAACCAACCCTCTTAAATAGGATAATCTGACTTCTATAGAACTTGAATAACAAACTTGTCATATGGATATTACTTGTTTATGCCATGGTGTGGTTGCCTCCTAGTGTTTTACTTGTGGAAGTTTACAGCCTTCTAGTTGTTATATATTCCCTTTACTATTGTGATTTTGTCTAACATTTAAATACTCTCCGCATGTGTATTACCCGTTCACTTGTGTCTATTATCGTAATGAGGCAGTACACTACCCTGCCAAGTCTAGCTCCGACAACATCTGTATTTGTATCTGCATCCTAGTGCTATCCACTCTGCTTCTGAATCCAGCAAAATAATGTGGTATAGGGCATGGTCTGAGCAGTATCCGATCAAATCCACTGCACTTGCACATGTAGGCTACAAGGAATGGATCATGCTCCACGCCATCCGATGATTAATAACGCCCTAAGGTGTGAAGACATTAATCATGAAATTACATCATACTTCTATTCTTTGGTGGAGACACCAATGGTAGAAAAATAGGATGAAATGACATAATGTGGGCAAGGGTGGTAGTGGGTCACTAACACCGAGGGTGTTGGTGGCCGGGTGGCATCAAGACATCACACACGTGTTCCGTTGCTCCTTTTTTGTGGCCAATGTTTCCACCACACCTTCCTATGTGATCATAACATATTGTAGGCGGTTTGATGTTCTCGAAGGTGTCCATGGGTGGGTATGGCCACCATATTGTTGTTTCTGGCCTCCAACTTGCCCCAAGAACACTTGATGGCAAAATCAATGATGAGCACAAGGAATTATGTATCTTCGTTCATGGCGCGGTAAATGTCATACAAAGGAAGTTGTTGGTTGTTCCTTGAATAGGACGAGGCACAAGTCAAGAGAAGAGAATGTATCCTTGGGAGATAAATTACTTCATCATTTATTGTTTTCCTCTCAAGCATATGGTCTTCTACATACATAGGAAATGCCTCTTAGCAAGTTCACCATAAAGATATCGGTAAATAGGAAAAATCTTCAATCCATAAAATATGGCAATGTGATCATGAGCAAACCGAGTACACCCTCAATCCCAAGGATCCCATAGATCTTGCAATATGTGAGTCCTCTGGGTTGTAGGTTGTCGACTCAATATAAGAGGTTACTCAATGACATCGCTCGCATGATGTCTCTTCCTTGGTTCATCTCCCTAATGGCCTAAGGTAATTCCCTTTGTGTGGCGAAATCGTCACATAGAAATTCACATAGATACCATTGGCTAGATGGGGGGATACCATGGCATACCTCTCTGAAAATCACCATCGATGCGTGTGTTGAAATGTAATGTCTCATGAACTTAACTAATCGGTTGTGTAGAAGGTCCCACTTAGACTTCTATGAAGATGCACTGAATTATGTCATTGTTCCTTAAAACTCAAAAAATACAAGTGACACTAGCGATCAAACATTATTTGTCTTAAACCTTGAGAGTTTGCTACTCCAAGTCATCAGAAAGTACCTAATAGCTTTTTACTGTTCAGACGCAATGAACGATTCCAATTTCACATCATAACTATGTTTATAGTTGGTCGAACGACAGAAAGAAAGATAAGTTCACATCTCAAATCGAACCGTTATAAGGAGTTAGACCGAATGACCATCTACAGTAATGTGTAAGAAAGAGTTACCCCGTTAATGAAAAATAATGGAAATAGTTAAAACTAGCAATAGCAGCCACAAGTAGAAACATACTGACGACAATTTTTGAGCCGCGACAATGGTTTCCGACTCCTTATAAGGGTATACATAAATGCCAAATGGTAGTGTTAGGAAAGGCAGGAAACCAAAAACTGCCCCGCATCCTCCGCTTGCACGACACGGGTGGCCAGCCGATCCACATTTTCAAGTGGCCGTCTTCCTGAGCATCCTCTCCTCGTCGTTGCCAGGAGTGGCAACCGGGCTTGCCCGCATAGCTGACGACGGTGGCAGAGCTCCATTCCTGTTTTCGTCCAATAGTCCTTGGCGATGTACTTTGCGACGACTTGACTCAGTAATGGCACACATGATGCAACAACGACATCAGTTCGTGGCTGGGCAGGGGCTACATCACGCCTTCCTATTCCCGATGGCGTTTCTTGCCGCAGGTGTCCCAGCGGCGAAGGAAAGGGAGCCGACACAGCCACCATGTCCTCAATCTGGAGAGCCTCTCCATCTAGTAGGGGCTACCACTGCTCGCAAAGTGTCTCCTCAGAGTTATGGCATGGTTGGATGAGGAGGTGGCAATGCAGTAGATGCCGTGACCGTCGCCTGTGTACCAAAGGGGATGTGACGGTGGCCATGGAACAGATGTCGCAGCCGTCGGGCCCGATATGGCCGATGCGATGTTGAGTACTGTCGGTCATGCTTGGCTAACTAGTGTTGCCTCCGTCGACGCGGCATCGGCCAAAAAATGGTCGACGGAAGGGTTGCACCTCGAGATCCAGCACGATTCGTGTGTAATCTGCTGCCACATGCAATGACGATGGTAGTTGCGGCATTTGGTGACGTCTCATGTAAATCTCATCAACTGCCACTTGTGAGGATGGTGTCGGTATGCCTAATCGTCTCAAACTTGGTATTTGGGCAGTGCATCTGACCTTCCGCCCTCATCAAAGTATGTGTTGTGTTGTGGCAAGCAGATCTTGTCATGGTTCGACCGCATGCTCATGTGGGCGTGGCCATCTCTTGTGTGATATCTCACGTCATGACCATGCGCATATGCAGTTGCCGAGGTCGTGGAAAGTGGAGGAGCTAACATACGATGATTTTGATTGGGCGGTGCTTCTGGAGTACCCGGTCTTGAGCTCCAGGGGAAAACCCTAGGTCTAACCTTGGTTGGTTATACCTGGCAATGGCGGTGCTTTTGCATCATTACCATGTTGAAGGCATTGCTTGCAGTTTTCTTGGACCTGATCTTCAGGGTGAAAACCCATGATCTGGCCTTCGATGGTGGATCCGACGGCATGAACGCTTATACGTCGTTTCTTTGATGAGGGCATTTCCTTTGTGGAATCCTTCTCATAGTAATATGTTGTCAAAAGATGGTTGGTGTTGATGGCCGTTGTATATATCGTCCATCGCTGTTGGGTCGCTTTAGACTTCTTCTTTTCTTTCCTTCACCTTGGCATAGATTCGATCTTATATGACTTTTCTTTTTGCCAATGTTATCCTTGTGTGCGTCTGTAGTGGTGGTTGTGTGCATCTTAGTTATGCCGAGATCGGTTGTGTGTTCATTATGCTTGTATCACTCAATGCTACATTATGAGTAAATAAAAAACACCCTTTGTCGAAAAATAAAAACATCAGGGAAAACAAGTCATGGGTGAGAGAAGATATTGGACTTGGACCATTCTCGATCGAATTAGGACGACCATAGGGAAGAAAGAAATGGAAAGGATTCAATGCAATTGGTCAAATAAGGAAGGGTGTGACAATCCAAGGAAATTACTGGATAAAGGAAACAAAAAAATTGAAGATTTTTGTGTCTTTGGATGAAGTTGAAGGCAAACAAAAAACTCGATGGAGTAACAAATAACCATGGACATGCCAAATTAAAAAGATCCTTTAGAGATCTAGCTAAAGAATGTGTAGCGAGGTCGAGAGGTCAAGGCCGACAATCCTATTTCTGAAGAAAGAAAGCTAACAACAAGAATCGTGTCCACTGATATTGAGCAATGATGCGAAGATAACTACAAAAGAGGCACCGAAATAGACTGTCATGGTGATAGAGGTTAGGCGTGGATGCTAGCAGAAAGACGCAGTACATGTTTGTTTGATGTCCCATACATTGTAGTGCAAGATAGGGATACTGTCCACAATGTTGTGACTCACAACAAATTCTAATGATAAAATAATGTAGATTTCGTTCAATCTTGTAGAAGATTTCTGGATTATGTGAATACGAAAGAACTAGTTCTCTGGGCAGGTGGCACCAGAGGTACATGAGTGCATTCAACCATCGATCATGTGAGCACTCTTCCCATCCTCTTTTTGTCTCTCTTACCATACATCAGTAAGCCTATCTGTCTAGGCGTTCATGTGCCTTCTTTGTTAGGCTTCTGTTTGGTGGTGGTGGCCCCATGGTGGTCTTTCAACTCCATCCTCGCCCTAGTGTGGCCATCACGATCTACCTCATAGAGCTAGTGATTCTCAATGCTCGTTAATTTGGGCTTTGCGCCTTCTCTACTAGCTGTATGTCTGAGTAACAGTTTGGCAGCCTGCCTTTGCAAGGGGTTTTCAGTCATATTAGGTTCTCACGACTTGAGCTAGGCAACTCATGTGGCTGTGCAAAACCTATATGATTGGCCTGGCTTGTGCGGGTTTGATCTTTTGTGGTTTCATCACCGAAGACATGGAGAAACATCAGAGTTTAGATCGAAAGGACATTGATGTAACTTCCGATTTTATCATTGATCTTCTTTGTTGGTGGTATTCCAGTTGTTCCAGTCCATTGTACTATCGTCAATCAATCAATAAAGCTGGCCCATTGTTCTAACGGAATCCCCATCTACCATTTCCTCTAGATTAATTTCCATCCGCAGCTCCGCAGCCAGACACCTTCGTATCCGATGCTTCATTTCCTTCTACCTCACTACTAGTGATCCATTCTCCAATTAATCACACCAAGCCAAATCATCTTCTCTTGTGAACCCCGTAGATTCGCTAATTTACTGGAACATACTAGGTGATACCTAACCCCAAACTTAATGGACCGAAAGAGAACCCACAAAAGAGTTCATGATACACATTAAAGAGAACTAGTTCAAATTTCCACACTAGAATTTTGGATAAAGAAAATGCCATACAGGAATATCATGCAACAATGCAAGAGAAACCAATAAGATACCTTCACACTGAAAGAAAACAAGAACAACTACAAATTTCTCTCCTACAGATTTCAAGTCATGGTGATTTTAAAATTCCCTAAGCCTGAACTGCATGTACCCGTGTCACCCAAACATGCAGGTGTCCTACTTCAATAAACTAGTAACACAAATCAAATTAGCGCCGCAACTAGAACAAAATAAAATTATCATTGCGCATGCCCTCACTGTCGTGAAAGGGTGACAACATTAAATTAGCTGCAACTCATACACCCTGTTCTTTGTAGTAAATCAGGGAGAAACATGCAGCAACCATGAATTACTCCGTGTAATACCTAATTTCAGTAGCCACTAAAAGAAGATGCAACACGTACCATGCTGCACCAATGCTTTAGAAAGCCACTGCTACCAGTTGCTAATTATAGCATTTATTTTAAACCGAGTCATTTAGGTCTCAGTGTTATCAACAATCAAGCAAAGCAGAAAAATCCAAAGAACATACCAGATTCATATGCTATGTTGATAGCAAGTGCATCTGTGTAAAAATAAGAAGTAGCAAACCAAACATCATATTACGTTCTCGACTGGACTCACCATTAGTACTACTGGCGTTTCATGAACAACAATCTACCTACTTCTTAGAGCTAGTATATATAAAATTCATTGATCAAAATAAGATCTAAATCATAAGCAGATTGATAAGAGGGAGCTGAGATAACTGCCTGGTGATGTCCCAACTCAAAAGTTCTTATTTTCTATTGGATTAAATTTATCTGGACAACTATCAAACTCATCAATCAGTATGGTGATATCATCTGGGCGAACTCTGTACCTATAGCAAATAATGTCATAAATCATCTCTCATCTCCCAAAACAAAAAGGCACATCTAATTTTTTTTTCTTGGGGTCTGTCTAGGGCACATCGAGTGCCCTATTTGTTACACAACTAAGTGATTCAATCAAACATAAAAAGAAGAGAAAAAGGAAAAAAATTAAACACCCACATGAATCTCCGCAAAAATCAACGACTTAGGACTTAATTAGATGGACACGAGCCCGGCGATCACTTAGGACACATCTAGATGTGCTTTAGCAAAATCAAGGAAAACAAGAAAGACACATCTAATTTGTAAATTAGTCAATTGTCTTGCGTCGTAAGCCAGCCCGTTAACTAGACTATAGGTTATACAATCTACAAGAAAAATAACTTCGCGGTATACCTTCAGACTCCATTGCTGGAGGAATAAATTAAGTGATCGCCGGGCTCGTGTACTCCATGATGGCATGGTGCATGGATCGGCACCGCGGCAACAGGATCTACACGGGCTGAGACGGCGGGACTCGCTGTCATGGCGCCGCCGCGGTGTCCTTCGGTGGCGTCTGGCGATCGACTAGCGCGCACGGCGGCAGGCGCAGAATCGATCTGAACTGGCTTGTTTTGGGCTAGGTCAACTCACGGTGCTTGTTTTGGGCTTGGGCTTCTATGGTTGGGCTTCTATGGATCCACGTAAAGGCTACGACTGACTATTGGCGTATATACACTTACCCCTCAATCGACTAAAAAAAACGCTTAGCCCTGAAAAAAAAACATAGAATATACTTCTCGAGTGCAATAATTCCTCAAGTGTCGAAAAAGAAGTGCAATAATTCCTCAAAAAGAAAAACCCAGTGCAATAAATCAAATTAGTGCCACAACTAGAACAAAATAGAATTATCATTGTGCTTGGCCTCATTGCCGTGAAAGGGTGCATATACCCTGTTCTTTGTAGTAAATCAGGGAGAAACATGCAAAAACCACGAATTACTCAACACTATGCATGATGCACTCTTACTACCAGATGCTAATTATAGCATTTGTTTTAAACCAAGTCATTTAGGCCACACGGTTATTAACATAACAGTCAAGCAAAGCAGAAAAATCCAAAGATCATGTTCATATGCTGTGTTATTAACAGTCAAGCAAGTGCATCTGTGTAATTAATCATAACAAGTAGCAGACCAAACATCAGCGATCGATTCCCTCCGTCCGATTTACTACCCGTCAAGAAATTCCGGACGGCATGAACAACAATCTACGTACGTACTTCTTAGAGCTATGCATAAAATTCGCTGAACAAAAACAGATGTAAAACCATAAGGAAATTATCAAGAGGGAGCTGACATAACTGCCTGGTGATGTCGAGCGGCACGGGTCCTGTCGCACACTCCGGGCACATCCACCCCTCGTTCACGCCCACCGGAGGCCGCCGCGCGACGTGGACGCAGGCTTGGTGGAACCCACGTTCGCACGCGTCGCAGATGACGGTGGATCCCGGCAGCTCGGGGAGGCCGCAGGACGCGCACTGGTTCCCGCCCCACCCCGCTACTCCCGGGTGCTGCACCGGCGCTGGAGGTAGCCCCTCCGCCGACGAACCTGCCGTCGCGCCCGCAATGGCCGACCTCCACCACAGTTCCTCACGGTGGTACGCCAGCGGTATGTCGCCGGCTTGGTGCGCGAGCAGCAGCTGAGTCTGCACGTTGGCGGGAGGCGGGAGCTTGGGTGGCCGTGGCGGCGGCAGCGGAGGAGCAAAAGGTGGCGACTGGAGAACCGGCGGCGGCAGCGGCGGAGGAGCAAAAGCGGGTGACCGGTGAACCAGCGGCCGCAGCGGCGGAGGGGCAAAAGCGGGCGACTGGAGAACCGGCGATGGCGGCACCTCCAGCGAAGAACCAGCGGTCGCGGGCGCACTGGCCGTAGCAGCAGCTAACCTCCAGGATTCCGCACGGTGGTACGCCAGCGCTAGCTCGCGGGCATGGTGCGGCAGCAGCAGGTGGGCCTGCACGTTAGCGGGTGGCAGCGGCGGAGGAGGAGGAGCAACGGGGGCAGCGAACTCATGCGGGGGCGACGGCGGTGGCGGCTCGTTGAGGTCGATGTCAAGATGTGGCGGGCGATCCATGGCGAACAGGGGATCAGGGTCGCGCTCAAGCTCAGGCTAGGGTTCGATCCCGGGCATAGCAATGGGGAGGAGGAGGTTAGAGAGAGAGAGAGCGTGCAAGGTAAAGCAGAAGCGCACGAGGGAAGCGGGGCTGGGATTCCGGGGAGAAGAAACGGACTCGGGCTGACGGAACACGTGGACGAGGGGCTGGGGACGCGTAGGTGGAGATGGGCTGTCAGTGAGCAATGCCGTGCCTAGGGAGATGGTCCCGATGGCGCAGAGCGCGTGACGCTAGCTCTTTCGCCTGTGGAGCGGTGCTCTACCATCGGTTGGTGTTGACTGCGTCTATTGTTGGTTGTACACACCGACAAAACACGTTAAGTATACTGTTAAGGCATGCAAAAGCAGCTTTTAATTGCATGCTTTGCTGAAATACTACGAGATATACGTCAAAATCATTCATTAATGTCTTTATTTATTAGCATATAGTATATTGCTATTATATATAGAAAAATCTCTTATTAGTTAGGTGCTTTGCTGGAATATGAAAAATTTATTAAAATCGTTTATTAATGTCTTCTTATTAAACGAAATATATAGAAACCATTTATTAACATATACCTTAGAAAATCTTGTATTATAATTGTGTGCTCTGCTGGAATACGAGAAATATACTATTGAAATCAATTATAAATATATATTTTGAAATGGACGAACGACTGGCTAGGGACGCGTAGGTGGAGATTGGCTGCCAGTGAGCAATGCCGTGCCTGGGGAGATGGGATGCGGTGGTGCGCAGCACGCGACGTGAGCTTTTTTGGCCTGCGGAGCGGTGCTCTACCGTCGGTTGGTGTTGGCTGCATATACCATCGGTTGTATACAGAGACAAAACACTTTCAGTGTATTGGGTGGTAACGTATGGAAAAGTAGCTTTCAGTTGCGTACTTTGCTGGAACACGAGATATACACCGAAATCGTTCATTGTCCTCATTTATTAGCATTTATCTCACTAGTATATATTGAAAAGTCTTGTATTAGTTCCGTGCTTTGCTGGAATATGAAATATATATTGAAATCGTTCATTAATGTCGTCCTATTATAAAAATATATAGAAACCATTTATTAATATATATCTTGGAAAATATTGTATTAATGTGATCACATCTGTAGTCCTAATGATTTTTAGTAGTGGCTTTTTATTTGCGACTTGAATTAGAGTATATCAAAGCTATAAATAAGAGATATAAAACAATGATGGATATCGTTTACCTTAGTAGTGGCTTGCAGATTTTCTAAAAAGCAATTTTATGAAGATAAGGAGATGTCAACTTACTTTGGTATTGTATATGCTGGCCTTCGTTGTGTTTGGCTGTTGGTTTACACATTGCTAAAAGAGGTTCAGTGCACATTTGTGGGTTTCACCAGGGGCGGAGCCACGTTTGGGCCCCATGATTGCTACAGTGTAGCTACAGTGTCAAACATTGCACATCATGCTTCAGTCAAGCAAGAAAAT